TCAAGCAATCTTCCCACCTCAGCTTCCCAAGAAGCTTTCCACTACAGGCATGTACCACCATGCCTGGCTAATTTTTAAATTTTATGTAGAAATGGGATCTCACTATGTTACCCAGGCTTGTCTCCAACTCCTGCCTTCAAGTAATCCTCCTGCCTCAGCCTCCCAAAGTGCCACCATGCTCAGCCTATTGTGTATTTTGAAATACAGAAGATATGCTTATTATAGTCTTATACAGTCACTATCAATATTCCTTTAGATTTACCCACATATTTATCATTTTTATTGACCTTTATTTCCTACCATATCTATGACCTTATAACTGGGATCATTTACCTCCTGCCCATAGAATGCTACTGTCAATACTCTGTTTTGTTCCTTCAGAAATTCCTTAATTTTACTTCCATTCTTAAAAAATATTTGTTTCAGTACTTTAAAGTTATCATTCCATTATTTTCTGGCTTGAGCTATTTCTGTTAAAAAGTCAACTGCAAGTCTAACTTTCTTTCTTTTTTTTAAGTCCTCTCTTTTTTCTGACTGCTCTTAAAGATTTTTCTCTTTGTCTTCAGACTTTAGCAATTTTTTCATGATGAGTCTGTATACCAGCTGTGTGAATTTAAAAAAAAAATCCAGATGGAGAGTCACTGGTTCAAACATTATTTATGCTCAATACCTTTCCCTTTCCTTTTGAAATTTTATTTATGTTAATATTAAACTTCCTTACTATATCTTCTATGTGTTCTATATTTTTACATCCTTTTTCCTTTTTGTATTTCATTCTGAATATTTTCTCCTGACTTACCTTCTAGTTCACTAATCCTACCTTTATCTGTTCCTAATATGCTCTTATACCCATCATTGAGTCTTTATTTTCAGTTAGTAAATTTTTTTTGTTCCAAAATATTCATCTAGCTCTTTTTTCAAGTTTCTAGTCATCTGCTCAAATATTTAATCTTGTGTTTGATTTATCTGAACATAGTAGGCATTGTTATTTTTAAATCTGTACCTGATAATTTCACTCTCTGACCCCTTTGGGGTCTGTTTTTGTTTTCTGTTGTTTCTGCTATATTTTTCTTATTTCCTTATGTAACTGATTTAAAAAAATTGTGTAGTAGGCATTGTGTTATCCAAATTATCTGTGGAAATTATTTGAGGCCTAGATAATATTATTTTACTCCAGAAAGGATTTCAGTTCGGTTCTGCCAAGTGCTTGTGGGCATGAACTCAAAGAAATTACCCTAATCCAGTTTCAAGGTTGAGATGATCTGAAGCTGAGCTACAGACTCTTTCCTTTTATGATGTAGCCTTTTGAATTCCTTGTTCAAAGCAAGGGGTCTTCAACAGAGTTCACCTCTTTCTCTCTTAATATGCCCTAAACTCCAATCTCTGTTCCCCATTCCTGCTTATCCTCTCAGCAGCCCTCTATGGAATGGACAAATAGACTGCCATCATTCCCCAGATCATGGCCTGGTAATTCCTCATTAACTTTTTAGCTCTCTAATGCCTTCAAGCTAATATCGTTTCTATTTTGTTGAGCTTTTCTAGTGTCCTCAGCAGGAGGACTGGTCCAAATTACAGTTCATACCAAGACTTACAAAAATGTAGATGTTAAATATAGGTAGTTGCTTTTAAGAAATGCATTGAAAATGATCCTTCAGGATCATTAGACTTTCATTCATAATTCTAACCTTTTAGCCCAAGCAGCAGACCAGTATTTAGGAACATTATATACTAGCCCTGGTATCATAGAATTTGGGATTACTTATTTTATTGACAAACATTATTGAACATCACTACTGTACCCAAAGCTATTCTAAGAAATTGTATCACAGAAAAACATGGTTCTTGACCTCAAGGGGCTTGAAGTCTAGACTTCTTATTGACAAACTGATTATTTTTAGAACCATCAATTCATGATCAAAGTCTTTTGTTGAACTTATGTAGCATTATACAATGATCAATACATTTAAAACATAAACACATATTTGAGCTTCTATCACTTTTTAGCCTAAGCATGGGGGCACTTTAAACAACATACTTTCTAATGCATTTGTCTTCCAGTAAATTTTATCACTGAATATGTTCCTTTGAAATAATTTGGAGACAGAAAAATACTAAGCTTCACAAAAGTTCTTAAATGCTGGGATGTTTTTCCTAGAGTTCAGTTCTGGTTTCCTAGTCTTTTCACTCTTGCAAACTCCTGGGAAAAGGTATTCACTCTGAATCATCATTATCTTTAATCAGGGCTTTTCCTTGGTAGATGTTCAAAGTCCTCTAAAAATGCCTGTAGGTATACAAGTATCCTTGGATTGTAAACTAAGGGCATAACAGATTTGCTGAGACCTGAGCCTTACTCACAAAGATTATTTAAATATGCCCAGACTTTCTGGGTTGAATCAGTTGGTAAAAATCAGGAGAGGGAATTTAGTGAATGAGGGTGCAGTAGATTCCTTATTTGATCTTGGACAAATTACATAACTTTTCTGGCTTTGTCTCATGATAAGTTGAGTTCCTAAATGACACATCTCTGAAGTATCTTCCAGTTCTCAAATTCTGTGATTCTTCTACAGTTGAAGAGGACTGCTTAGCTACTTGATTTTAAAATAGATGGATGGCTGGGCACGGTGGCTCACGCCAGTAATCCCAAAACTTTAAGAGGCGGAGGCAAGCAGATCACCCGAGGTCAGGAGTTTGAGACCAGCCTGGACAACATGATGAAACCCTATCTCTACTTATTTCATTGACAAACGTTATTAAACATCAATATGTTCAATATGTATTTTGTAAAAATAAAAAAATTAGCCAGGTGTGGTGGCACCCTCCTGTAATCCCAGCTGAGGCATGAGAATCACTTGAATGCGGGAGGTGGAGGTTGCAGTGAGCCGAGATTGCGCCACTACACTACAGCCTGGGTAACAGAGCGAGACTCTGTCTCATAAATAAATAAATAAATAAATAAATGGAGTAAGAGCGATGAAGATGAAATATAATTAAAGTTCAATATATCAAGTAAGATATTAGTAAAATAATTTGTAAGAAAATTAAGATACGTTAGTGGCCACCACAATGGCTGACAGAAATAAAACAAGACTGAGGTGTGAGGAGGCTGTGGCTCCATCTTCTTTCAATCTTCCCTTCCTTCTTTTCCCTGCTCTGTCTCTACTATACCCCCATTCCAGGAATTTCCTTCAACATGTCCATATGAGTGGGCAACAGTGATTGCTCCGAAGGCAGAACTCACAGCAACTTCTTCTACAATTGAAGCACATTGTACATCTGCCTTGTGGCTTCCAAATGCAGCTGTGAGGCCCTGCAGGACAGTGCAAGGAAAGACAAATGGAACTGGTAGATGACTGAACAAATTATATGAGTGCAGTGTTTCATCTGTGAAATGATGGGATCAATGTTTACTTTTTTTTTTTTTTGAGACAAAGTCTCTCACTGTTGCCTGGGCTGAAGTGCTGTGGTGCCATCTCGGCTCACTGCAACCTTGCCTCCCAGGTTCAAGCGATTCTCCTGCCTCAGCCTCCTGAGTAACTAGGATTACAGGCACCCCCCCCCCCCCCCCACGCCAAAACGCCCAGATAAGTTTTGGTATTTTTAGTAGAGATAGGGTTTCATTATGTGGGCCAGACTGGTCTTGAACGCCTGAACTCCTGATCCACCTGCCTCGGCCTCCCAAAGTGCTGGGATTACAGGCGTGAGCCACCATACCCCGCCTACATTTTAAAAATGTGTTCTGACGCCCATAATTATTCTGTAGCTGTCAGCCCCACAACCTGACTTGTTTTATTGTCAGCAGGTAGCTTGTTTCATGCAAAGCTCACCTTATACTCAGAGCCTGGGCACAAAGTGAACATGCTCAGTCAGTATTTGGGCTTCGTACACCTTTTCTTTTTGTGAGATAGGTATCACTATTCTAGTTTTTGAAGATATTGATAGAGAAACTCAGAAATGTAACTATCAGGATCATATTCATAGCAAACTAGAGCCTTAGTGCTGCCACTTCTCATATATTTGATGGGTCATTTTTCTAAGCCTCAGTTTTCATATCTGTAAAGTTTCTACTTCTAAGCATCAGTTTCCATATCTGTAAAGTTTCCATGAGTTAGATAGGGTTGACAAATTTAGTAAAACAAACCAAAACAACCAGGAAGTATATACCAAACAAGATATTCTTATATTTTAAAAAACTCTCCATTTATCTGAAATTCAGGTTTAAATGGGAACTCCTGTCTTTCATGTGGCAAGGCTATGTTGTTATTACGGATATGACAATGCATGTGAAGTCCTTAGCTTCCGTAAATTCTATGCACATTAAATTTTGAATTTGATCCTTAAGTCTTTTTTTCCCTACCGCAAACACACTGACTTATTTCCACAGAACATTTCAGTTAAGATAGAGTAACACTACTTTTAAGTTACAGCAATGTTTTACCGTTCCTAAAACGCTTTCAAAGCCTAGCCAATGGCGGATGCCTCTAGCGGAAATCCACATAACTCGGGGTGTCGAGGAAGGTCTCCGGAGTCCGGGCACAGGCAACGAGGGCCGTCGGGCCCTGCGGCAGCCTTGCCCGCCCCGCGCCTCCTCGGCCACTCAGCGGCCGCGCCGTGCCTCCGCCGCACTCCTATAGGTCCTTCCCCTGACAGGCGAGGCCTTTCCATTTTTCCCGCTTTCCCCCGCCCTGTTCTGCCCGAAACCCGCACCGGCCCATAGCGCCTCCGCCCTGCCTTCCGTGTGAGCCCCGCCCTTCCGGACGCTGCATTTCACCCCCTCCCCAGCCGCCTTTCCGGGCAGCCCGCCGGATCCCAGGCCCATCCCTTCGGTAGGAGGTGGGCGGGAACAGGGAACAGCCGGCCGAACCCCCTTCCTCTGGGTCGCCGGAGGCGGGACGGGAAGAAGGGGCGGGGCTCATCTCCTTGGCGCCGCGTTGCCATGGCAGCGGGGAAGGGGAGGGAGGGGGAGGAAGCGAGCGGGAGGGGGATGTGGTGCTGCCTGGGCCGCCACTGCAGCTGCCGCTGCCTGCTCGTTGCCGCGTCTTCCCGGAGGCGACTGCTGGAAGCTACAGGGAACAGCTGCGGTGCTCTGCCATATTGTCTTCCTCGGCCGGTCCCTCGCCTCTTGGCCGGTAGGCCGAGTTGACGGTGAGTCCCGGGCGGAGCGGTGCCCTCTCGGAGCGGTGCCCTCTCGGGCCGGCGCCGCGCGGTGACCGCGCTCCACGCCCCGGCCCGCGTAGCCGCTCCCGGGAGCGGAGGCAGCGCTAGCGACCGGCGCCAGGCGTGGGGCGCGGAGGCAGATGTCCCGTGAGGAATTTGCGCCGGCGCGGGGGTGTCCCCGGCGCGCTGGTGTTCCCGGCGCGCGTCTCTGGTGGTGTGTGGGTTCCTGGGGGTGTCGAACTGAGGGGAGTGTGGCTCGTGAGGAGTTACGAGTTTTTTCTAGAGGTGGTGACCGTCCGGGAGGGGCGGTCGCGCGGCGGAAATCGCCGCGAGGGTGTCTTCCTCCGGGAAGGCGTGGAAGGGGCCCCGAGGACCCTCAGAGCTCGGCTCGGGGCTGGAATCTGCTATTAGAGAAGTCCCCCAAGCACCTTGGAGTCTTTGCAACGCCCCCCTCCTCCGGCTTTAAGTGGAGCGAGACGTGCCGGGCTTGGAGTCTTCGTCCGGCAGGGGTTGGGATTGGCTGGGCCCCGCCAAGTAGTGCCCAGGGAGGCGACGGGGGCGGCCGGACGCTGTAATGGGCAGAGGCAGGTCCCGGGTGTGGTGGTGGCCGACCCCGGCGCCCTCTCGCCCCTCCTCCGCCTCGTGGGGCCTCGAAGGGAGCTAATGTTTTAATGCTGCAATATGGACACTTCCTGTTCGCCACCTCCTTTGGGGCTGTGGTTACCTTTGCCCTCCAGTCCTGTCTTTCCTGGCAAGGTGAGAGGTCTGCGGTGGGAGAGGCCCTTCAGCCTTCCGAGTTTGCTCCACTGCAGCAGCAGCCTGTGTGGACCTCGGCTGGATGGTGGTAGTTAGGAGAAAGCAGCCCATGTGCTCAGTGGTCCATCCTCCACTCCTACTTAACTCCACCCCCTTTTGCACCTTTGCAGCAAGCCTCTGTTCTCACCGCAGCTCTCGAGAGTTGGGGTGTCTGCTTCGCTGGGGAGCCACACTCTCGCAGTGTCCTTGCACTGGGTTTCTGCTTTAAAGTCTTCATTTTCTCCGTACTGGGAAAAAAAAAAGTCTTCAGGTGCAAAGAAATGACAGACTTACTTTCTCCTACCCGAACTGCGAGGTGCGGGGAGGAGGGCAGTTAAGTGTTTCCAGATTACTTGAAGCTGTTTCTCCTGTCTTTTTTCTGATTGTGACAGCCACGTGGCCGGCTGAGTGTAATAGAGTGCTGTAGCGGCACTAGGGGCTGAGGTTTCTCTGGTAGCCAGGGGCTTTGTAACTGTGCTGTCACTTCGCATGCACATTTATCTTGGTGCTTTCTTAGATGGCGAAGAGGAGGAAGCGTAACCATTCATGCTTGTTTCATCCGAGTCTTAAGACTTAACCTCTGTTGCCCTGCAGTTCTTCTAAGGTGTATATTGACGTGTTGTCTTTCTTTCTTTGTTTTTGCCGTTCTCTGCTGTTTTGATGATCTATCTTTAAAACCTCAGCATTATTAGGTACCATCATAGAATAATAGAATAGTGCATTATGTAGTTTGCCAACTCTGGGAAAAAACATTACTTGAATTTCAAAACCATTAATCAGAGATTCTGATGTAATCAGAAATAATCGCGTTATCTGGAGGATTTCTTTTGGACAGTTTTAGAAAAATCTCTTTTTTTTTCTTTTAACATAAAAATTAGGATCTAAACGTAAGTAAATAAAATTACCTGTGAAAATACTTTTTTAGGGATGAAGTAGTGATTTGATTTCTATGTTTGTGTACTTTTTAAAGCTTTTTTTTGAAAAATGTTAAGTTAATATGAATGTTAACATGAACAGATTTTAAGAGAATGAAATATAGTTTTTAGAATATATAAAAGTAGAAGATCAAAGAGTTGAAGATACAAAATAAACTTAGAGAGTTTGGAAAATTTTAGAGAATTTAAGGACAATCCTTGGTTACTAATACATCATTTCATTTTGTGAATGCTTTGGTAGATTTGAATTATTTCTGTAATGTGTGTTTTTATTTGAATTAGTTTTACTTGAAGAATGTTAAATCACAGGAACCATTTAAAATCTGCAAAAGAACTGTATAGAGAAGTTATAGCAATACCATTTTACTGGAATTTTAATTACCCCATAACAGTGGTGCTCAATCAGAGAGGTTAATAGATAAAGATATTGAAATGGTATCTAGGCCTCAGGGCAGAAAAGACAATACAATTGAGAAATGAGTATATGTGCTGAACAGTGAGAGCAGTTTTTAGTTGAGAAAGAAAAATAAATGAGGTTACAAAATACTTATATAAGGCAAACGCAGAAGTATCTTCTTAGATCAGGAGTTCAAGTCCAGCCTGGACAATGTGGCAAGACTCCCATCTCTTAAAAAAGGATTGCTCAGCCAGGTGCGGTGGCCGGTGCCTGTCATCCCAGCACTTGGGGAGGCTGAGGTGGGCAGATCACCTGAGGTCAGGAGTTCGAGACCAGCCTAGGCAACATGGCAAAACCCTGTCTCTACTAAAAATACAAAAATTAGCTGGACCTCGTGGTACATGCCTGTAGTCCCAGCTACTCGGGAGGCTGAGGCAGGAGAATCACTTGAACCTGGGAGGCAGAGGTTGCAGTGAGCTGAAGTCAGGCCACTGCACTCCAGCTTGGGCGACAGAGCAAGACTGCATCTCAAAAACAAGCAAGCAAACAAACAAAAAAAAGGATTGCTTGAGCCCAGGAGTTTAAGACCAGCCTGTGCAACTTGGTGAGACACCATCTCTACTTAAAAAAAAAATTTTTTTTTTTTTTTTTTTTAGATGGAGTCCTGCTCTGTCCCCCAGGCTGGAGTGCAATGGCATGATCTGGGCTCACTTCAACCTTCTCTTTCTGGGTTCAAGCAATTCTCCTGTCTCAGCCTCCTGAGTAGCTGGGACTACAGGTGCCTGCCACCACACCTGGCTAATTTTTTTGTATTTTTAGTAGGGACGGGGTTTCACCTCATTGGTCAGGCTGGTCTTGAACTCCTGGCCTCAAGTGATCCACCTACCTCGGCCTCCCAAAGTGCTAGAATTACAGGCATGTAATTACAGGCTTGAGCCACCATGCCCAGCATATTAAAATTTTTTGAAATAATTTTTAAAATAATATAAAACAAGAGGTACCGAAAACATATGCTGGAAGGTAACTTGCTTATACATTCTTAGTTATGGGATCCAGCTCTCAAAAGAAAACTTTAAAAAGTACTTCACAAAACGGACTTAATCATGTTCTTAGGGCAGCATATTTAGCTGCTCCTTGTGTGTGTGTGTATTTTTTAATGTCCTTTTTTTTTGCTTGTGGATTGTTGTCATTTTGGTAATGAGTTTTACATAAATTCAAAAAGAGCTTCCAAAAATAAAGTTTTGATGGCCTAATGCTTTACTGATTTCTCAGAAGAAAAGAAATCTCAAATCTTAGGTTAAGAGATTATTAGCATGCGTGGAAAAAAGTTTACAATGTGAGGATACAATTAGAACTGAAAGTATATGATGTAGACAGGTGCCATAAGAATTAAGAGAGGGAAACTGAGACTTTAGAGGGCTCGAGTAGAGAAGGGACACTTCTGGGAGAAATTAAGACTCTTGCTTTCTAATGTCTAACCTTCATGTTACTTCCCTTGATCTTCCTGAAAACTATATCACTCTAATGACCAATGCCCTGTATATTAAGCATGAATACCAAATTTATTCTCAAGACTTTTCTAACTTTGGTTCCAATCTTCTCCCATCTTACCTTCCGCTGACCTGTAGGAACTATTCATTATTCATTATCTCAGTGTTGTATAACAATTTTATTTTCTTTATAACTTTGCTGATATAGCACTCTTCTGTTGGAAATATACCTTTATATATCCTCTTAACTACTGAATATCTACACAAGCTTGAGGGCTTTTTAAAAAAATATAGAGACAGGGTGTTGCTGTGTTGCCCAGGCTGCTTTTGAACTCCTGGCTTCAAATGATCCTCCCACCTCAGCCTTCCAAAGTGTTGAGATTACAGGCATGAGCCATGATGCCCAGCCTTGAGGACTTCCTGATATCTTTCTTGATTACCCTGAGAGCCTTTACATTTATAGAATGTTAGACCCACCTTCACCTCTCCAACTGAAAATTCTTTCCCTTCTCTAATAGCATATGATTCTTTTGTGCTGTAGCATTCTGTACTGCCTTGTTTTCATGTAATAGTTTTTGAGCACTTACGATGTGCTCGACATTGTTCTGTTTTGTTTTTTAAGAGATGGGGTCTAGCTGTATTTCCCAGGCTGGGCTCCAGCAATCCTCCCACCCCTGCCTTCCAAAGTGCTGGCATTACAGGCATGAGCCACTGAGCCTAGCCCATTAGGCACTGTTATAGGAACTGAGGATACAGCATTGAACAAGGCAAATTCCCATACTTGTAATAATATTTTTAGGTTTTGTCACCCCAATTAGATTATAAGATCTTTGAGCACTTAAAGGAGTCTTATTTTCTCAGACAGGCATTATGTGCTTAGTGAGTATTTGACTATTTTCTGAGTAAAGGAAAGGTAGGACCTATGGTATGAAGTGGAGAATTGGATAGAAAGGTCTCTTTTCACAAGTGAAAGGTACAAAGAATGACCAATTGTGGATGGTCTTGAAAACATCACTTCTGAATTGAAATAGGGTTTAATATTTTTTTAAAACAGCATTTGAGCTAGGGAATGATATAAAATCCTTATTTGAGGAAATATTTTTTGAGTACAATGCACAAGACTGACTGTGGGAATGCAGAAAAATTAGAAGGATAGTGATCTATTAAAGAAAAAGTTAATAACTGTTAGAGGGAGTTCGGGAGGGTGTTCATTATTAAAAAGATGGTAAGTTTAGTTAGCTAAGTGTAAACTAAGTATAATATGACCTGTAGTGATATGTGGGATATTAAAGAGATGACAGCTAATATAAAGAATTTGTGGCTAGCCTTGGTGGCTCATACCTGTAATCCCAGCTCATTGGAAGGCTGAGG